TGGTCTGAGTTGGGAAATGTCCACGGTAAAAAAGGAGTTTTTAAGATGCATTTTTAAGGGGGGATCTCTTTTCCTCACAGATGGAAAAGCCACTATCATTTGCCATAAAAGTTTCTCAAAAAGTAAACATAAGTAAGAGAGAACACAGAAATTAAATTCCAGCCAGGTGCTGATGGGTGTCTTCCCCTTGTTAACAAGGAGGTCAGCAAATGTCAGAGTTTAAGGTCAGGGCTCAGTGAGCTTTCTCACTTGGTTAGGTTTTTAAGAAGACTTAACAATTTTCATTAAATCCTTCCGATAACGGTCTCAGTAAGCGAAAAGCAGTAAGCAACTCAGTAGTTAACGCAGGATCCATGCACCCCTAATAGCCCCTGTGGTCAGAGAAGCTCTGAGTCACCTTCCGACCCTGCAGTGTCCCCGTCTGTGACTGTGGGTGTGCTGTCTGGGGGATGGGGGGATGGAGGAGGGGAGGCGCCAGGGGTGGAGAGGGACAGACAGCCCAGAGCAGAGGGGAGAGCCCCCTTAGACCGAAAAGTTTGGGTTCTGAGTCTACCTTTGACGCCTCTCACCTTACCTGAGCACCTGACCCTCTTCTCTAAATCCACCCCCCTCCTCCCACCGCCACTCAAGACACAACAGCCCAAACACTGCTCACATCTCCACCCTTGGCTGCACACTGGCCCCGGGAAAGAGCCTGGGGGCCCTCTACCTTCAGTGAGCGACCAGCGAAAGCCTTTCTCTTCCTGCCCCACCCTCTCCCCTCCCAGATAGAAGAGAAGACTGCAGGTGGCCTTGTCACCTTCTAAGTCTTAGGTATTGTCAGCATTGAGGAGGTTGGGCCAGGGAGTACTCAGCCAAGGCATGACTTGGGGATTTTAACCCATGGGCCACATCAGGGGAACCAGAGGAGGCTGGTTTCACAGCTGGGCCATCGATCCAGAATTGAGTTGTGAGCCCTTCTGGTCAGTGGTGGGGTTAGGCCCTCTGACCTCTTGGAACCTCCCAGAGGCCTGGTCTCGAACCTGTTCCAGCCTGTCAAGGAAAGGGGCAGAGGGAGAAAATGGGCCAGCTACCGGGAGGTGCAGAGGCCACAGGAGAAAGGGGGAAAAGAGACAGACTGGTTCCTCCCTAGGAACCCAGGATGCTCTCCCAGGCTCGCTGCTACATAGAGACAGGGTGGGGCTCGTTGCCTGTTGAATCAGTGCTCTGTTCAAGGTACCAGCCCCCCAACCCACAAATAGGCCAGATGTCGTCACCTGAGAGTCCCACCCTAGCAGGGTGGCACTCAACGGGCTGGAGCACTCAGTCAGGGGTCCCTTCAGGAGCCTGAGGAGCCACCAGTCACCCCGCTCCCGGTTCACACATTTATGCACCGATAACACATGCCAACAAGGACCGTGAGCGTTTTCAGATGACAGCGTCATGATTATAGTCCTCTGAGCCATTTGCCGTCTCTTGTTTACTCCTTTTATTTCCGGGTCCACACCAGGCTGTATCACGGTAGACGCGATGGATCTGGCCTCTGGTGGGCCTCTCGGGAGGGAGCATTCTGGGAGAGAGGAGCCCAGGACCCAAGAAGCCAAGAGGTAAGAAGGATCTTTCCTGGGCCAAGAGATCTCTGGGTTCTGCAGTAAAGGCAGGCCTGCTCCTTGCCTCTTCCCAGAGCCAGGAAGACATACTGCCGTTGCACCAAGCGGAGGGGACCCTTTCATCCTGAGTCCTGGCCCTGGCCTGCCTCCCACAGGTGCCCACTGGGGGCTGCACTGGACGTGAAGCCTAGAGTCCCCTCCCCCTCCCCCGGGCCTCCGTGGGTCCTGCGCGGGGAGCTCACCTGGAAGGCAGCCTTCACACAGGGTTTCCCTCCTGCCTCTCAGGGGCTCAGGGCTGAGTGGTCGGTTCTTTCAATGTTGTACCTCAACAGGGGCTGGGTGTGGCTTCTCCCTCCCTCCAGGAGCCACCGACTCAACATTTCATTACACAAACTGAGACAATCCTTGGACATTCCTTTTCAGGCTGCGACCAGGACCTACAGCTGTCATCCCCGGCTCGGGTCGTCGTAAAAACAATTATTTCTTCTTTCACTTCAGCCCGAGAGCTGAGCTGGTATTTGAAGAGTCAAGGAATCAAATATTCATAGAAAAGACTGCATAATTCTTATTTGGAATATTAACAACGTGAAGGGACAGACAGAATCAGTCCTTTTCTGTTAAGCCCCAACCAAGGAGCTGTCCCCCCATTTCGGCTAAAAGCCTAACACAGATAAACAAGGTCCCACCAGTCAGGGCCTGCTCTGGGCAAAGCACTATTACAACAGCAGCGTAAAAAAAAAAAAAAATATATATATATATGTATATATACATATATATATGTATATATACATATATATATATATGCCTAGAACTTCACTATTTTATTTTATTTAAAATTTTTTTTTAACGTTTATTGATTATTGAGAGACAGAGAGGCACAGAGTGTGAGCAAGGGAGGGGCAGGGAGAGGGAGACCCAGAACCCGAAGCAGGCTCCAGGCTCCGAGCTGTCAGCACAGAGCCCGATGCGGGGCTCGACCTCACAAACCTCGAGATCATGACCTGAGCCGAAGTCGGTCGCCCAACCAACTGAGCCACCCAGGTGCCCCTAGACCTTCACAATTTAAACTTTCATGTTTGTCCAGTCCTTTGAGCCCCCATTCCTAGCTTGGAAAGATTCATATGGGAAATACTAACATACCATTTTGCGAACGAGCAGTAGTCTCTCAAAGAGGAGAAGTCTTGCCCGAGGACTCTGCTAAGAAGTGTGAAGGGAAGGACCGAATCCAAGGCTGATGCTCTCCCCCTAAAACCCCCTTTACTTCGCAGAAAACTTCAACCTCGCTCCAGCCCCGAGGAGCCGACAATTCATCGACCCATTTTATAGATAAGAAACTGCAGGTGAGAAAGGTCTGCCTTGGACACCTTTCCGAATCCCCTGTAACGCCCACGCCTCCACCCTTCCACCCACGAGATGTTCCCAGCACCCCAAGACCCTGACCTGACCCTGACCGGGATCGGAGCCCCACAGAGGTGCTGGCGTTCACGCGTGTTTTTCAGTCATTGTTGCTTTCCAGCCCAATATTTAAAAAACAACACACCAAAACCACAGAACACAAGGTTTTCTGCACCTTGGCTGATTTCCTGCTGACTCAGCCAGGCTGGGCAGGAGCCAACGGTGGTAACTTCTCGGGGCCCTGGGTGAGAAATATTTATTGTGGAACAGTCCTCTGTTGAATAAAAGGCACCCGGGCCTTTCTACAGGGCAGAGAGGCTCAGACGAGGGTGGCTGTATTTCCCCTTTTGGGCGCGTGATTTGGGTGGAGTCCTCGACTTTTCTAGCTGTACCTGCTCCTTCCCTCCGCAGAGGACCTGCAGCCATGATTTGCATAAGCCAGAGCAGCACTTCTGTCGCTGGCTGCACTCTCATACGTGAAGCAGGCAAATGACTTAACGCCTCCGCACCTCCATTTACCCGTCTGCAAAATGGCCAGAATCCAGTGCAAGTATTGATTAAGTTGCAAAGATCCCACCTGGGATTCACCCTCCGCTAGCTGCCGTGTTCGGGGATATGGGACTCGTCCCTAGAGGCTGAACCGGGGTCCGGGCTGACTTGGAAGAAGCCTTTGAAATGTCAGAGTAACAACCAAGAAAACAGCAAAGGACTTCGGGGCACGAGGAAACTACCTCTGCCACTTAATAATGCACGAGGCTTTTTATGATGCATCTGTCAATAGCTCCCGTCTGCCAGGGGGATAGGACGCACTGTGAGAGTCACTTCCAGGAGGGAGCCCTTCACAATACAGTGGAGTCCAAATCCCCAAGACCAGAGACCTGGGGGGTCAATCACGCTTCAATTACCTCAGAGATTACAAAGCAGGATATTGATGTGCTGTGCTCGGGCTGCGCCCCAGGCTGTCCACTCCGTGTTAACAGCGTTCTTCCTCTTGCCATAATTAGCACCTCAATTTTTTTGTCCCACTTCCGACCCCGCCCCCTAGCCATTGGAAATTCGCAGACTGGAAATTGATCAGAACTTCAGTTGCTGAGATAACAACACGTGGTGCTTTTTAATCTGTCAGCCTCCCCTTTGTTCTTTCAGGACTGGCTGGTTGCCCTGCCTCCTCCAAGCGGTGCCTGGCAGGGGTCTGCCAAGGAGGTCGACTGAGCAGACGGGACGGCTGTGATCCGTGGGTTGACGATTCACAAGCCCAAGTCTCTCTCCCAAGCCCTAGAATGTTGTATCCCACTGCATCCTGGGCAGATGCACCCCCGAGCCCTTCATCTTCCCCCAAAGCTGCCTTCCGGATGCCTGTCTCGGGGAATGGCAATCGCCCAAGTGCAGAGGCTGGGAATTGCCCCAATCTCTCCCCATCTCCCTGACTTCCAGCTGGCCTCTGGATTCTACGTGCTGACAGCTCAAAAACCTGTCCCCTCCTCTCTTGCCCTGCGTCCATGGCCCCAACTCAGACCTCTACACCCCTTGTGCAGACTCTCCACCCCACCCCACCCCCGCTATGGCCTCCCACGGGGCTCCTTGCCTCCAGCCCTTGGATCCACTGCAGCCAGAGCTCTCTAGCACGACCCACTGGCACATGCTTGCCACCACTCAGCCCCCAGTCCCTCTTTCCTTTCTTGCTCTCGTTACCACTCTTGCTCATGGCTTTCCCAGACACCGTTCTCCCTCTGGTCCCTGAGACTTTGAATATATTGTTCCCCCGGCGTGGGAGGCTCTCCCCACCCCACCTTCTGGGCGCCACACATTTATTGCTCCTGAATACCCACGTAGTCTCCCGCATTTCCCAGCCCTCCTTGCAAGTCAGACTGGCCACGTGATGAGTTCTGGCCAACGGATAGAAGAGCAGGTGGGAGCTCCATGTGCTTGGTGGTGAGGCGGTGGACCGACCCCAGGCGGAAGCAGCCTCCGTCACTGAGTCCTTTCAACAGCCGGATGTTGAGTCTCTGGAAGTGCAGAGCCTGGGTGTGAACAAGAATAAATCCGAAGTGTCAAACCCCCGAGACTTGAGGGTTGGGGTGACTGCAGCCGAGGCCCAACCCCTCCGGACGGGTGGTCTGGTGAGTTCCCTTCCGTTTCCGCACGACCAAGAGCCACCTCCTCTGGAGGCCCGCTACCCAGGCCCCCAGTGAAACTCAGGTGCCCACTCTGCACCTCCGTAGTGTCCTAGCATGTTCCCAAGGAGAGGAACTTTGTCATCATCTGCACCACGGTCACGGTCATCGCCATCGTCATCTATCATTTCTTGACCAGTGTCTAAATACTCCACACATATACCACATCACCCCCTTCGGTGTGTGCTGTTTATTGTTCCCAGCTTGCAGACCAGGAAACTGAGGCTCAGAGGGGCTCTGTGGCTTGTTTAGTGGCCCAGCTGCTGAGGGTCAGGTCTGTGCAAGCCCCCCACCTCTTCTGGACTCCTCCCTTCTCCACTTTCATACCCCCAGCACTTAGCACTATTACCCAGTAGGTGCCCGGTGATGTTTGTTGAATGAATGTATCAGTGGTGCTTGCTTTCTGGCCTTCCTTTTATGCAGCAGAGCCTCAGGAAGAAAGGGGGGCCTGCCCACTGGGTGCTAGGGACAAGTGGCAAGTTATGCCCAGAAAGTTCCCCACCATGGCCTTTCCCTCCAGGGCACCTAGCTCTAGACATTGCCTCTCAGTTCACGTTGCAGATTTTTTGTGATGAGCCGTTTTTTTGTTTGTTTGTTTGTTTTTTAAGAAAACTGAGCCTGGGTGGCTCAGTCGGTTGAGCATCCAACCTCAACTCAGGTCATGATCTCACAGTTTGTGAGTTCGAGCCCCGCGTCGGGCTCCGTGCTGACAGCTCAGAGCCTCGAGCCTGTTTCAGATTCTGTCTCCCTCTCTCTCTGCCCCTCCCCTGCTCACGCTCTGTCTCTCTCTGACTCTCGAAAACAAATAAATGTAAAATTAAAAAAATAAATAAAGAAAACTGAAGAAGGATGAGATGGTCACAGGCCTCATCGGTCACTTCCACCTTGACGCTGGGATTCAAAGGCTTTGATCCCTCCAGTCCTAGAATAGCTTCCTACCCTCTGCGGTGCAAAGCACTTTTCAGGTGCCTTACCTTATTTGATTCTGAGATACGGGGTTATCCCCCCTCCGAGATGAGAACACCCAGGACCAGAGATGTGAGGCAATTACCTCTGCTCGGCCGACTCCTAAGAGGCCACGCTACAGGTCCTCTGGCATCAGAACCCCCGTGATCTTCCCCACCGCCTGCTCCCTCTTTTTGGGGGGCAGACGAGGCGAGCTGGGCGGGTCCTGGGGCTGCTACCAGGGACGCTGGGAGTGACAGCGGAGAGGAGAGCTTGGAAGCAGCTCTGGTAGCCTCTCTCTGATGTCACATTCAGCACAAGGGAGCCATTATGCTGATTGTCCTCTTTCCTGGGCAAAAAAGAACAGCAAACCCAAAGTGACAAGTGGGAAGACTGTTTGGAAGGTCTGAGGGGGCCCATTCCAGGCGGGGCGTGGGTGCGGGGAGGAGGGTTGCCAGGTGAGCAGACAATTTGGATTTTGTCCTTTAATGGCTGGCTGTGTGATGCCAGGATCCGGGGAGAAGAAAGACAGGGCCGTCCAATGTGCCGTAAAGACCGCTCAGCTGACCGGTCTTGCGGCCTCCAGGAATCAGCTGAAGGTAGTCTTTGTCTCTCTCCACCGGCCTGGCCTGATTTGAAATCCCCTGAGACAGCCAGTTGGGGTTGCATTCACTTTTCATGATTGGCCCGTGTCTCCCCATTTAGGGATTGGAAAATGCACGACCAAAGACCATCAAAAGAGACAGAAGAGAGGGCCCTTCTTTTTCCTCTCGTCTCTGTCGACCCAGAGCTGGGAGCAATGGAGAACAGATAGAAAATGTGCTGGTAGATGGATAGATGGACGGATGGACAGGTGAGTGGAGGGAGGGAGGGAGGGAGGGAGGGAGGGAGGGATGTGTGGACAGAGAGACACTGCCTGGTGGAAAAGCATGAGGTTGCTCTAAAGGACTCTTCAGAAGGGGCCTTCGGGAGTCAGGAGCAGGAAGGACTGGAATCCGGTAGGAGCTGAGGACCCTCCAGCCCACACCACCCCCACCCTTTCAAAGAACCTTCACCGGGTGTGGAAAACCACACATGGAGCCACCTGCCCATCTTGACGCTGAAAGCGTGCCACGGCCTGGAAGGACATCAGACATCCAACGCCAATAGGACATCCCCCAAGGGCACAGTGCCCATCCCCTCCTTGCCCTGGGAGATAGCGCCATGCCTGACCTGTCAACGCACGGTCATTGGAGAGCTTGTTTAACTGGAAACACAAGCACGTGATCACAGCCATCACTTCCTTATTCTCTTTCCCAGTAAACAACAGGGGAGATCTCAGAAGCCCGGAGCCCAGGAAGTACCAGTGTGGGGACTTCAGAGGATAGAACAGATCCCAAAATTGGGACTTTGGTCTCATGCACGCAACTCAGACGAGCCACGCGGCCTGAGGCAGCCGCCTACTGTAGCTTGTATGCTCATTAAACGTTTGGTAAATGGACCACCGGCTGTTCTGTGCCCTCACGGGACACTTGTGTGGCATCATCCCAAAATCTCTTCAACGTCTCCGCTGGAGAAAGCACGTGAAGTCAGACGTACCTGGGTTGATACCGTGGCTCTGCCATTTCCGATTGGGTGACCATGAAGCAACCGCCTCGCATCTCTGCGCCTCGGTTTCTCTCACTGTCACATGGTGGGGACCGTTAGGTCCATGTCAGGTAGCGGGGAGGAGCGTGGGAAGCAGAGAATTGAAAGGGGCGGCAGCCCCCCTAAATCTATGTCCTCACAAACTGATAATGGGATGACTTCAAGGCTTTAAGGATCATAGGTCCCCCTTCTCCCTTCCTGAGAGGCACTTGTGTGGTCATTTCCCCAACAGCTTTCGAAATTCCCACGGTGTCTCCCAAGACAGCAGCCTATGCGGCCAGCATTGCAAATGAACCAGAGGTATGGGTCATCCACACTCCCTCAGATGGTAGAGGGAGTAGAAATTACAGAAATTACATTGGTTCCAGTGAAAACGGGGTCCTCAGATCCAAGATATGCAAAGGACGTCTTTGTTCTAGAACATTCTCTGCATTTCCCCCATGACCCTTTTTGCCCAATAGTCTTCCCTGCCTTGTTGTATGTAAATGGAGGTCTGAGATCAGCCGTTCCTATTAGCATATGAAAAATCTTCCCCCCTTCTATTGATTGCCATTATTTGAGTTCCCTTCACAATTCCTGCAGACTTAAGAGCATAACTTAATGTGGACACAGAAAAATGGGAGAGGGGATAGAGAGAACAGGAGCCAACGACAAAGATTTGTTCTGAGTACCCGTACCCCGTACACAGAGCCCCCACCCTGGGGAGGAGCCCAGCAAGAGTTGGATAGGATGTCAGGGACCTTGCCAAGCATGCAGAACACCAGTCCTTGTGACAGCAGGGAAACTGAGGCACAGGCCAGCCCTGGAACTGAGCCTGCATGGCAGAGGGGAGAAAAGATACCATTAACTACTTCAGAGGTGCTCCTGGGAAGGTGCCAGGTCCGTGGGCTCTAAGGGACTAGCAGGACACATCACCTAGTGGCATGGGTAAGGGTCCGTTCCCACCACAAGGCCCAGAGAATGTGGTCAGAGGCTCAGGGCAAAGTAGTAACAACATGAACATCCCTCAGTGTCCCACTGGGCAGGACTCTCTAGGACTATGCCCAGCACCCTGGAACTGACAAGGAAATAGTAAGAAAAAGCCATATAGATTTCTGTGTCTTTTTAAAGACCGTATGTAAAGGATGTGGGCAGGGGCTTCTGATGAAGATGGAAACAGAACAGTCCCCCCTGGTTGTAAAAGTATCAGAAATGAACAGCCTCCTGAAGATAGAAGAACGCTCTGCTGGGTAATATTGATTATCTTTGGGGTCAGAAATTGTTTCGCAGTTGTTCCTGATTGAAAGGTTTTCTATTAATTCCTACCGGCAGGCAGAATAAGAAATATTGAATACCTAATTGCCTTTGAAATAATTACACCCCCCAAATGTAATATCTTAACCAACGCATCGTGCGATCGATGCCGCGCTGAACTAGGGAGATTCCAGAGGCAATGGAAGGTCAGGGCTGGACGGGGGAGGGGATCGCTAGCGCCCTGGGCTATGGGGTTAGAGCAAGTCGCCTGCTCTTTGAGTCCTGGCCCATCTGCAAAGCTGGCGGACAGGAAATCCTCCCACCAGGACGGCAGCCTAGGGTAAAAGACCACTGAACTAAGAGTCAGAGCCATGAGCGGCATCCTGATCCAGAGATCTTGTGAAAGCTAGTGAAACTCTTACGTTTCCTGTCTCTCTCTTCTGCAAAACGACGCCTACCGAGAGTGACCCCGAGGGTGGGGGGTGGGGTGAAAATCCGGTGGAATCCATACATCCACCGATATACGTGGAAGCATTTTGTCATCTATGAATTTATCCATTCACTCATTTGAGAAGTATTTGTTCAGCCCCTGCTCTATACCAGCTCACACCTAGGACCCGGAGCGACAAAATAAAAAAGAGCGAATCCCTGCCCTTCGAGAGATGCATTCTAGGGGGGACTGCAGGTGACAAACAGAGGGACACATAAGATGTGTAGCATGCTCGTGACGGGTGTAAGGAGAAAAAACAAATCAAGGAAGGGTGAAGTAAAAAGTTGGGGAGAGAGAAATTAGAGAGAGAGTGCGATACAGGTACAGGTGGCCGAAGAGAGAGAGTTATTATGCGGAACCGGCTCATCAAGGAGGCTGAGAAGTCCCACGATTCTCCATCTGCAAACTGGAGACCCAGGAAAGCCAGTGCTGTGGTCCTAGTCCAAGGGCAGGAGGTTAATTTCCCAGCCCAGTAGTCAGGCAGAGAAATAAAATTCAGCCTTTCTCCACTTTTTTGTGTCATTAGCCCCTCCGTGGATGGGATGAAGCCTGCCAGCCTTGGGGCAGGTAATCTTCTCTCCTGGGTCTACGGATTCAAATACTAATCTCTTTCAGAGACACTTCACAGACACACCCAGAAATCAGGTTTGACCGGATATCTGGGCACCCTGTGGCTCAGAGAAATTGACACAGAAAATTAGGCTAAGATCTCACAAAGTACAGTGGACCACGCAGAGAACCTGACGGGCCGCCCCACCCTCCAGGCATCCGTGGTCTCTCTAGAAGAAATCTCGGACGACTTTTTCAAATCCACTCAGTTTCCTGGAGATTCTGACAAGTAGCGTTGGGGGATTTTGCCCCTATTTGCAGATGCCCGGTACTGATCTATACACCCTGTGCATGGATGCTCCTTCTTTTTAAAAACAAATTTTTTTCATGTTTATTTGTTTTGGAGAGAGAGACGGACACAGAGCATGAGTGGGGGGGTGGGCAGAGAGAGAAGGAGACACAGAATCCGAAGCAGGCTCCAGGCCTCGAGCTGTCAGCCCGGAGCCTGATGTGGGGCTTGAACTCGATAACTGCGACATCATGACCTGAGCTGAAGTGGGACGCCTAACCGACTGAGTCCCCCAGGCACCCCTGCTCCTTCTTAACTCTAACAATCAGAGACCGAGGGAGAGAGAGGGGAGAAAACCATTATCTCCTTTCCACAGACTCTACAGTCCTATGGTTCAGGAAGGTTAAACAATTTGCCCCCCCCCCCCCCAGCACAGAGCAGGGCTTCAGAGCTGGATTTTGTGGCCAGTGTGATTCCAATGCCAGACTCTTAACCACTCCCCAAACCCTCTGCCCCACCTGGGGACCTCCACCCACCTTTGAGGCAGTGATCGATGTTGACAAACACGCATCCCAACAAACCCAGTTGACAGATAGGAAAACAGGCTCAAAGAGGAGGAAGGCTTCCCAAAGGACGATTTCTGCAGCGGAACCCCCTGCAATTTAGAGCTATAAGTCCGGGTTCAAATCCTGATTCCACCCACAAGAGCTGAGGGACCTCAGTCCCTTCAGGGTTCAGAGCCACGGGCCCCTCACCTGGGGCAGTCGGCACTCTTACCCTCCATCATGCACCAGCAGCTGTTGTCCTAAGGATGCAGAGAGCTTGCTTCTGAGAGCAACCACGACTCCCTTCCCACCTACCTCTAGGGATACAAGGGGAGTCGACACATCTTGTAAGATCTCAACCGTGTGGCAGGGGCAGGGTGCCTTCCTGCCACCGTTAGATCTTTGGTCCCAACTTACAGCCACAAATCTGTGCCACTGTCTCTCCTTCCAGCAGCTATAATGCCATCAGCACAACACTCCCAGGGCATTGGCGTAGAATTGGATTTTTTTTTTTTTAATTTATTTTGAGAGGCAGAGAGAGAGAGGGAGAGAAAGAATCCCCAGCAGGCTTCCTGCTGTCAGCACAGAGCCCAATGCAGGGCTCGATCCCACAAACCATGAGATCCTGACCTGAGACGAAATCAAGAGTCTGACGCTTACCCGACTGAGCCCCCCAGGCGCCCCATGGAATATTTTCAGTGACTGATTACGCCCTATCTCAGGCCCTGACTACAAAACCCTAATAAGTCACAGGTTCCACTGAGAATTTGAAAAAAGAAACTGAAATCAGGTATTTTTAGAGAACCTTTCAGCCTTGTACTAAAAACACCTGCTATCTGAACTTTAACCTCAGCCTGAAGACCACAGTGGCTGAGGACAGAGAGTTTCGGGAGGAGGGCTGGGCTGGGCCTGGAGGAGGGTGCATAGGCCTGTTGCTTCCGACCAGCCCAGCTCAGGCGTCTCTTCAGATAACAGACCCGGCTCGGATCCACGCTCGATAAAATCAACTCCCTTCCGTACAGATGCTTCCGAGCACTGACATCCTGTGGCTCAGAGGTGGGAGCCACAGAGGAACCTCCATTTTCCTCCACGCCAGACTGTGACAGCTTCCGGGGCAGCCCCGGACGCACACTTGGTGCCCTCGAGCTGCTGTGGGGGCGTCTGTGATCACCTGCCAGGGCAGGTCCTGAAGGGCAGAGTACAGCCCGACACCGACCGGGGGTCTGAGCGAACACGGCCCGCCCGAACGACGCCAACAGCCACGGCCTCACAGCCTCAGCCTCCATCCCCTGACTGTCCCCCAGGGTCCGCCTACACTTCGGTCCCTATTTGGGGCTCTTGGCAGCATTAGGCGTTAGCGGTTACTCTCCTTGGAACTTTTCTCCCGCTCTGCCTTCGATTGCCTCCTACGGTTCCTACCCTTAGGCTCAAGTCGTGATCTCGAGGTCCACGAGTTCGAGCCCCACGTGGCACCGTCTGCTGTCATAACAGCTCAGAGCCCGGAGCCTGCTTCGGATTCTGCGTCTCCCTCTCTCTGCCCTTCCCCCTCTCAAAAAATACATAAACATCAAAAAAAAATTTTTTTTAAGATTTCTCTTGCAGCCTCTTCCCTGCTGGCCAGCTGCCGGAGTCCATCCACCTTCCTTCTTGATCTTCATTTATCCAGTCAACACACATTTGAGCTCTCTGTGTGTGCCAGGCATTGGCAGAGGTGACCAGACATAGAACATTACATTTTAGTGG